TTTACTTTTCTTTCTGGGGAGTTGTATCTGGATTGACCAAGTGAGAATAGAGTGATATTCATAAAAACCTTACCAATAGGTACTCTCATCACAGAAAAGTGCAGTCCATGGTGAGGAGAAACTGTAGTGAATGCTCTGTCATAATGGAAGCCACACTGGGAAACAGTCACCCACAGATACCTAACTGGGTTAGCCACACTGTCAGTTCCCTTACCAAGGGTCAAGAGCAGAGGTCTGGGAGATGTTTCTTTTTCCAGAAGGGGGCAGCATCTGACTGTCACCAGTGAGTCCCTGGCCTTCTGAAGGGTACAGGGAGCGGGTGTTTATGCTGGGACTTAAACACTGTCCAGTGAGGCAGGACGTGCTGCCGCCTTGGCTTTTTGATCTGACCTCTGACTAGAATTCTCACTCTAAGAGCGTCAGCCGTGACCGTAGAGCTCACCCACACCGGCGTCAGCCGTGACTTGGTAGAAGTCACGTATGTCAGAAGAGTTCGTGGTGGAGGGGACCAGTCAGTTCCCTCAGGCCCTTGCTGTGTACACAGTGTTGGAGAACCCTGAAGCTACAAGTGGATCAGTGGGGTCTTTCCATCCTGAGTTTAAGAGTGAGTTTCTTCTCTCATTAACTATCACCTCAGTGGCTACATTTCATGGCTGTTGATGCACAACAAACCACTTCACAAATGAGCGACTTAAGCCTTGACTGTTGAGTTGCTAGTTCTGCAGGCTGGCAGTTTGGGCTCAGTTCAGCTGCAAGTTCTTTGTTCTTTCTGGCCTGGCCGTGGTGAGGGTGAGCTAGGCGGCCTGGCCGTGTTTTGACTGCAAAGATGTGTGTTCTCCACTTTCTTCCAGACCTTGGGCTTCCTCCTGATGGGGGCAGGTGGCTAAGGCAGAAGCAAGGCAGTCTCCTGAGGTTACGCCAGTGTACATTCCTTTATCCAGAAGCGGTTTCTAGCCCAGCCGGTTCCAGAAGCAGGGGTGTGGAAGCGCCACCCTGTCCACAGCCTGACACTCGCTCAGACATGCTGGGCCGGGGCCCTACCACTGACCCGCTGTACAGCTGTGCCTGAGAAGCCGGGATGCCCTAGAGCAGAGTCCTCCCAGCCTGCGCGGAGCTCGGTGTCCTGAGGAGATCATGCCGCCGGCTCCCTTCTCTCCTCAGCCTGTGGTCTTTGTTTTCTTTTCTTTTTAGGGCAGTGGTTCTCAGCCTTCCAGATGCTGCGACCTTTAGTACAGTTCCTCAAGTGTTGATGACCCCCAACCTTACATTTATTTTTATTGCTGCTTTATAACTGTAATTTTGCTACTGTTATGAATTATAAATGTGTTTTCTGATGGCCTTAGGTGACCCCTGTGACAGGGTTGTTCAACTCCCACAAACGGTCTTGACCCACACAGGTTAACAGCCACTGTTTTAGATAATTCTTGTATCTTCTATCATTTGTTCATTTTTATTAAAATTCATGCCAAGTATTAATTTTCTAAATTATATTTTGGTCCCTTATTAATTTTTTTTGCAGGAGTGTCTCTCCTGCATCCTCAGGATGTCTCCCTTTTTCAGTGGGCAGGGTGTTTTCCTTCGTACTTTTCTTTATGGTTTTCCTTGTGTTTTGTTTTATTTATTATGAGAGGGAACCCATGCTCTGCCACACATGTTGAGCTCAGAGGACAACTTCAGGGGTGCAGTGTCTGTTCCGGTCTGGTCCTCCTGTGTCTCTGTGGCTGCATGCAGAATGCAGGTTAACCAGCCCACAAGGTTCCGTCCGCCCTCCTGTCCGTACCTCCACCATGCTGGGGGGCTTCTGTGCTTCCGAGAGTGTGGGCGTCCCTCTACCCTCGTGTGACCGTCCGTTCCCAGCACCTGGTAGGCAGCATGAAGCAAGCCAGGGTCCTGTGCTGCCTTGCGGCTCACACTGGCTTGGGCACCTTAAAGAAACGGATAGGCTCCTTCCTTCCTTCCTTCCTTCCTTCCTTCCTTCCTTCCTTCCGGTGCCGACAAGGCTGACGCCGTATTTCCCCTGGAAGATAGCTTACCACATGAATGTCTGTTCCTCTGTCTAGATAAAGTCTACATGTCTGAGTATTCTAGAATGTCATTGCCCTCTGTAGTGCCACATGGTTCTGGGGAGCGTGTATAAATGGGAATACGACAGAGTGCCACTAGAGAGATTGGGATGCAATATGCAACTTGGGCTGCCACGTAGCTCCATCCTTCCATGGTAGAAGTAGCAGGCAGGGAGGCAGCAGACTCCCATGCCCTTCTCAGCTGAGTTGTACTTTCTCCTCGCTCAGTACCGTTAGCATAGCGTGTAGCAACTTGAAAACTGGGCCCTGCACCCCCTTGGAGACCTGGTGTTTAAGACTCACGGACAGTGAAGGCTGTGGGTCTCTTGGAGAAGTTAACTGGATTGTGGTAGGACACGTGCTGTGTTTCTGTGCCTTTGCATAGGGCATACTGAGGAGGAGGGAAAGGCTCGTCAGTTTACATGCCTTCTTCAGCTCAAGCCACAGTGCATGTAATGAACAGCACATGTGCTAAATGCATAATAAGTTAAAAAAAATCTTGTCACTGCAAATGCTGGTATTTGAAAGCTGAAATTTGCTGCTTTTGTCCATTTGTGTTATATTTTATGATTCTTGTACAGGTGCACGCACACTTGAGTATATACATGAACTCTGTCCATCTTCTGCTGTTACCTTCTAAGTGTCCCCTTGGGGAGCTCTAGGCCCAGCTTTCCTTCTGTCCCCTTGCCCACAGGCTGAAGGCTCGGCAGGGCTGCAGTTCTCCAGGCACTTTTGGAAGAACACATCACAGCTGTCACGGGTGGTTGTTGAGTCTTTGGAGAAATGATAGTTGTTTACAAAGATGCCGTTTTCTCATCAATTGGCTTAACTTTGTCAGCTGTTTCTGGCCTTGGAGCTTGATTGAAGTTCAATGCCAAGGAAACCATTTCATCAGAAGTAGCTTCTTTGGCTGCAGAAGTGGTTTGCTGTTAACTACTTGTTTCTCTAATCTTGTTGTGGAATTTAACTGGCTTGCTGGGAACACCCCCTGGATACTTTCAGTGCCAAAACTGCTGATCTGATTTATAGAAAGATTCTCTGGCTCCTACTGACTCTGGGGATTTTACCCTGGTGCTGAATTAAAGCTGTTTACTCTTCCTAGGAGGATAATGCATGTGTGCACCTACGTACTTTCCGATGTATGTTCTAATGCCCTGTGAACCAGAGATCCAGTTCACCTGCAGGCTGTGTGAAGTTCTGCTGTACTGGGAGCTGTGACCTGCTGTGTAGTGTGGGAGAGGATGAAGTGCTTCCGTGAGCCTTACCAAGTGTTTGATTGGCAGCAGAGGACTGTGATGGGCAGAGCAGTAATCATGCTTAGTTAACACATTAGTTTTTCTGTTACATTGATGTTACCTAGGTTTATCCTAACTGCTTTATATTAATCATTATAGACTTTTGATTGAAAAAAATAGTCTTCCATGGTAAAGAAACCATGACTTCTAAGAATTCTAATGTTTGAGTGGTCTGAGAACTGCTGTACTTAAAATTTCATGTGATGCAGGGATCTCTGTCATGACCATCATTACACAGGTGATCCAATCCATCAAAGAGCCTGTGTGTGTATGAGTGTGTGTGTCCACACATGTGTGGTGTATGCCTGTGTGTGTGCTTGTACACATATGTGTGCATGTGTATTCGTTCGTGTGTGTGTGTGTGTGTGTGTGTGTGTGTGTGTGTGTGTGTGTGTGGCGCTGGGGACTGTGTCCATGTTAAGAAGGTCTTTAAACACAGCTACAACTCAGATCCCCCCCCCCCATTACATACAGGAAAATTACAGTTTTAAATTTGTTTCAAAATTTAAAAATTTAAAATAAATTTTAAATTTGTTTCCTTTGTTCTGTACATTTGTTTCTGAGATGTTGATACGCAGCCCAGGCTGACCTAGAATTTGCTATGTAGCTGAGGCCAGCCTTAGGTTCCTGCTTTTGCTCCCTACATGCTAGGAACTGATATATACCACTATTGCCAACTTTAATATTCTTGGGCCAGATTTTGGGGACCTTTCTAGAGGAAGACCATATGATCAGACAAAGGAATGAAGTTGGAGTGTACCAGTAAGTTATTAGTTTACTTCATGTTAAATATTTGATTAAAAATCCTCAAAACTTATCATGATCCAAATTAAAATTTAAAAATCCAAGTTAAAAAGCTTTTGTCCTTTTAGTTTGGTGAATTAATTTGAAATAATAGAAGTTTATTCCCATTTTGCAACTATCATTGTCCTGGCAAACATTCGAGTAAGTTGACACATGAAGATGTACTAGTCACACACCTTTAGTTACACAGCTATGTTAGAGTAAGTTGACACATAAAGGCGTACTAGTCACACACCTTTAGTTACACAGCTATGTTAGAGTAAGTTGACACATAAAGGCGTACTAGTCACACACCTTTACACAGCTATATTGCAACTGCTGAGGACACACGCGGTGGGAGGATGGTCTTTGCTAGACAGGCACTCATGACACCCAGCCCTACACTGTGGGGTGTGTTGAGGAAGCACACCGGGGTGCGGCCTAGGCCACCTGCTGCCAGGCTGCTGGTGAATGAACAGCTGGGGTGTCCCACGATGTCTTCATCCTCTGACTTAGTGCCCACTAAGTGAGTGCTTCCTACCAGTGGCCTGACTCTCGTGGAGACAGTTTAGCGGGAAAGATGAGGCATAGAGAACTGGAACTCATGAAGAAATCAGCAGCAGCCCTCTCCCTGCTGAGTCAGCTGAATGGGGGCTGCGGTGGTTACACTGGAGGTCAGGGCCCACCTCTCCAGGTCAGCTTGCCGTTCGTTGGGATGTTCGTCTCAGTTGAAGTCTTCCCCGCCACCAACGCCCTCTTCCAACACCTCCACTACCTTTCTTTTTTCCATTGGCGCTGACTTTCTCCATTGCTGACTTCATCCCCTGTTTAAGTCGGCCATGTTGTCATTGTTTTGCAGAAACCGAAGCCAAAGGATTGGCACCCTCCTGGCGGCTTCATCCTGGGATTGTGGGCGCTCATCGTCATGATCTTCTTCAAGACCTACGGAATCAAGCATATGAAGTTCATCTTTTAGACATCGAGATGTAGGAAGAAGAGTAAATGGAGGATTGCAGCCTTGGATAAAAGCATAGTTTTTTTGTTGTTTTGTTTTGGTTTGTTTTACATATTTTTAAATGTGTTGCTTTTGTGTAAATTTGGGAAGAAATTAGGAAAAATGAATTTTAATGAGCTTTTGACTTTATCATTTAAAATATTGTTAATGCACTTGTTTATTTTATTGGCCACTGAATGTGTGAGTGCATGTGTCTTACAGAAACTGTGGGACAATGACATTGGGACACATTGATTGATTCTTTTTATCCTCTTTTCATTGTAAAAGTGAGAATTGTGAAGGGTTAATTACCACTAAAGAGTTAACTTGTGTTGTAGTTTCCCGTGTGTTCTCCAGGTCTTTTTATTTAAGGCCATTCCCGGGATTTTGCAGACAGAATTGCAGATGTAATGAAAACAAAGGCCCTGGTAGCTGTCCATCTAGGAAGTTTGTGCCTTTGAGAGTTTCTTGTGTTAATTGCACAGAGAAACTTGCCCTGTTAATTTTCATTTTTAACCATTCCGTGAGCTTCAAGAATTGATTGTGTCCTCTTCAGTTTTTGTCCCAAAAAAGACAGATTGCCGACTAGCTGTATCTTTGTTTTCCCTGGGGACAGTCCTGTAAGGAGTACGGTTTTTCCGCCCGCCGCCTGGTCTTGTCTCGCCGCCACGCCGCCAGCCCCAAATAATGCACAGAGACTCTGTATTTGATACAATGCTATTGGCCAGGTGCTAGTTTCTAATCGGCTAGCTCTGTCTTAATTATTAACCCATTTCTATGTATTTCCACGTGGTCTTACCGAGAGTGGAGGAATGGCGGTTCTGTTCTCTCCAGGCTCTCCATCTTGACTCTTCCTTACTACTTCCTATTTCCTCCTTGTCTCCTAGTCCCTCCTATCTTCCTTTCCTATTGGCCAACAGTGCTTTATTTATTAACCAGTATGAGAAACATATACAGAATTACATCTCCCATCACAGTCCCATAACCTGGATGACATGCATGGAGCGTGCACACACACTTACGGCCCTGGTCCCATGGGGCACTAAGCATCCCTTTGTACTCCATACGCCTGCACTGACTCTTTTAGGATGTCAATCATCTCTTCATTTTTCTATGGTGGAAGGAGGGCTGGCCTTGTCATCCGAGGGTGGGCCTGGGATGGGGATGTGCCTGTGGGTTCAATGTCCGTGTCTGAGGGGATACTCAATATTTTATCCAAGGACCTGCATGCGTCTGTTCTCTTTACAGAAGTCGTTTTATTGTTGATCTTAAATGTAAGTAACAATTAAGAACACTCTTGGGAGTAAAGCCTTTAGAACAGTTTTTCTCCTCCATGGGGTAGCAAACTGCCTTTTCTCAGGGGTCACCTAAGACGGTCAGAAAACAGATACTTACATCTAGGTTCATAGCAGTAGCAAAATCACAGTTAGGAAGTAGCAATGAAAGCAATTTTATGGTTGGGGGGGGTCACCATAACATGAGGGACTCATCATTAGGAAGGCTGAGAACCACTGCTCTGGAGTTAATAATCCACGGGATCTCTGCACCTTTCAGCTGCGTTGTGGTTATGAGCAAAATTCATACTTTGGCAGGCGAAAGAGTGCCATCTCCCTGACTGGTACAGTAATGTTGAGGGTTCTTTGGCTTTGAGTTTTTATTTTAATTGACATTTTTATTTGTGTGCTATGTAAGAGGAAAAGGAAACTTCCATTTGGCCACATAAAGACGCACCTTTGTGAGTGCACAAGGGAGGAGTCTGAGTGGCCAGTGAGTGAGTAGCCGAGAGGGCCAGTATGGCCACGCCTCTGGGAGCACTCGCTGTCAGGTGGGGTAAGAGGGCTATCACAGAGGAGAGCACCTCTGGGGCCGAGCCATTCAGTCCAAACACAAGGAGGGCGCTCTGAAGTGAAGGCCACAGGAAATAGGGAGCGCCCTCAGAGATTGGGGAGGGGCTGAGCGGGATGCAGGGTTAAGTTTACTGCGCAGACTTTTAGAAGGTGAGGATTTTGTTGTTGTTTTGTTTTGTTTTGTTTTTGTTGTTATTTGTTCTTGTTTTCTCTTTCTCATCTTGAATTTTCAGCATGCGGTTGAAGTAAAACTTTAAAAGCCTGCTGGTAGGTGTAATCTTACGTGAAACTGTTTTGCTTTCGGTGAGTAAATTGTATGGATTTATACAGGAAATAATACATGACCTGAAATGTCTTCTCAGGGTCCCGAAGAGCTGAGTGAAAGGATTTGCCTTTCTCAGTGTGTAAGGACGGACGAGGCCGGACAGACGAGGCCTGGCAGAACTAAGGGTTTCGGAAGCTGTAAATGTGCTGTGCTAGTCCTCACTTGCTGGGAGCGCAGGGAGAGGCAGCGGGCGGTGACGACGAGGCCCTTCCCCTGCTGCACTTGTGAGTCTTTTCAAGCTGCTCCATGATGCTCCTGCCTGTGTGGGTGCTGTCTCCCTCCTCGCCCATTGTCCCGTGAGGGGAGAAGGGACCTAGACAAATGGACCCCACGGACATGTCGTGACAGGGCATGGTGGTGCAGTGCCTGGAAGGCAGCCCGCGCGCAAGGGAAAGAGACCCAGATCTCATGCGGTCCCCACCTCACAAGGCACTTATTTGCAGCTGATGAAAAGAACATATAGTTTGGATTCAAAGATGATACAATCGAATCAAAAATTAGATGTAAACACAAAAATAATGTATGCATTTATGGTTCCAACTTTTATATATTCTCTGCTACTTGAAAGTGATGAGCCCCAGGGCAAGCGTAACTCAGCCCTTCCTGCTTACCCAGCGCTTTCTGCCCTGGTGTGTGGCTACCATTGCTTCCATTGTGTATGTTGTGTAGCAGGGTTACAGTCGGTGTGGGAGTCATCGTTCGAAATTTTGATGCATGGGTTCCTGGAATCTTTACAGCAAACGTTGAATTAGCATATTACCCTTTTCAGTTTCTTTTTACCAAAATTCAGCCGCCTGTAGTAGCTGCTCTTTAACTTGTGAAAGAAATACTTTATACACGTACTTCAGGTTAGAGCTGTAGAGCAGGGAGCTCAGTGTGCGTGCGGGTCTGCTTTATGGCGGAAGCCTCATCTCGTCATTGCTTCCATGCAGACGCCGGGGTCCTGGCTGCTGCTGTGTAGCGGGCACACTGACCACTTTTCTGTTCTGGACAGCACACCGTGGGGGTAACCCAGGTCCCCTCCCCCATCTCCCCTCTCCCTCCCCTTTCTCTTGGTGCAGAAACGCTCACTGTCTTGGAAACACGCTATAAAATGTGTGGTTCTAGTTATGTGATGTGTGTGGCATTGTACTTTGTTCTAGCTGCCCCACTGTCTGCTGCCCACCCGGCCTCCCTGTGGCTCCGGTCCTCACCCAGTAGTCCCTTTTCCACGACACATACGTGTGCACATGTGTATGAAAGGGTTCAGGGTATGGATTGAAGGATGACACCGAGACAGATGAGTGTGTGTGTGTGTGTGTGTGTGTATGTGTGTGTGGTGTGTGTTGTGCGTGTCTGTGTGTGTGTGTGTGTGGTGTGTGTGTTGTGCGTGTGTATGTGTATGTGTGTGTGTATGTGTGTGTGTATGCTTACGTATATCTAACTATTAGAAGAGATAATGGCCACAGACAGGCAACAGCATACAGGGACTCCAAGGAGAGCTCTGACCACATGGCAAACTAAAAGTCCCTTCTTTCGAATTTTAGGAGAAGGGGGAGGGTAACTAGGCTGGACAGTTTCGGCCCTCACAGTCCGTCACAGAGTTAGGACGTGGATAGACAGCTTTCCTGGCCGGCCATTACTGGGACTGCTGGGAAGGGAAGGCAGGTGGCTAGAGAAATGGGTTACTTTGCTTCCGGAGACCAGATTGGATTCTGTAGTCATAGTTCCGCCAGAATGGGAGAGCTTTACTAAAGACGATGTGGCCTCGGCTAACAGACACGTACATGAAGGACATGTGTGTACACAGCTGATTCTAACCCTGCATGTGGGGAAACGTGAATTCTTTGTGCCGGTGCCCCCTCCTTCCCACCGTCCGTCTCTGACTCTGACCTTCTCCCCTCATAGCCCTAGTGCCATGTCACCCTGCATCAGTGCTTATATGTACTTAGTGTAGCGTTTACAGAGAGAAGGTGCAGATTTGACACCCCCAGGGCTTATTTCACTCAACACCCGGGTCCCGGATTCCATCCGTTTCCCGGCGGACAACAGTCTGGTTCCTCACCACCAGCTGCAGATCACCGTGCATCATGCAGCACACCTTCCCTGCCCACTCATTGGCTGATGCATCGCACCCGCCCTGCGGCTGGGCTGTCATGGGTGGGTCTGCAGTGGATGTGAATGCATATGGATGCATGCATATGGATGCAGCTTTATCTCCTGCAGAGACACTGAACAAGATTAGGGAGCAGCATAAAGCGGCACTCACTTTAATAAAGCTGTGGGTGGTGTGTTTTACAAGTGGATCAACTTTGCAACATTGTTTCTGACTTCTGTTTAGGTCTTTTAAGACTGCATAACATTCTCAATTTTTCTTTTTCAAAATGTAGCAAATGGTGGAAAAAGACATCTACTTAGTGTTTATCGTGTGCGATATTTGCAGATTCTCTGAGAACCATCTCATCAGGAGGTAGAGTCTATGTACAATATAGTGTCCTCCTCCCTGGATCTGGGCTGGCTAGACTCTTCTACTCAGGTGACTAGTACTGTTCTGAATGAGGCCATGTGCCCTGGATTTCTCCAGACCCAGCCACTATCCTGAGGAAGCCTGGGCCCTATGGGGAAGTTGTGCTTTTGTGTGTCCTGGACCTCCAGACCAGGTCCCCGCCTATTCCCAGCATCACCTCCAGGGGTTCGAGGAGCAGGCTCCTTAGTGATACCAGCTCATCTTTGTCCAGACTGCCTTACCATCTCTCCTTAATACCCACACTGTTGGCAATGTCTCCTCTGCCTTCATGGCACTGTCCCTTCCAGGCACTCAGCTGCTTCCTGTGCGTCTCTCTGAGTGCTCCCTCCTGGCCGCATGCTCCTGGTGTTCTGTGCGTCTCTCTGTGCACTGCGCATGAAGACGGGATTCTCCCAGGAAGCCCCTTAGTAGTTCCATCATGAACAGACGTGGTTGGTGAAAAGCTGTAACCAAAGCCAACCAAGCAAAGAACATCAGGCCAGGTGAGATGGAGAGATGGTCGCTGAGCTGTTGTTGAGGGCTGAAGGAAACAAACCAACCTTCAACTATGACCTTCAGGTCAGTCCTTTGGACATGAGGCCGGCTTTGCATTTTATATTTACATTGCTTTTTACTTTTCCTTTGCTGGTGGCACCACCCTGTAATATCACAGGCAC